TCACGGTTTAAGACTCGACCAATCCCCAAGGCCTCCAGACTGATCATTGATGAAGAAATCCGTGACACGATGCAAATTACATCGAAAAACTGTCAGTTCAATCGCAAACTCGATGGCTTGTCAAATGACACGGATTATCCGACCATGAAACAACCTGGGAGCGTGAAAAAGACATCAAGTATGTGTCGGACTAGAAGGTTCTCGTCGACGATTTCAAGGACTATCAACGAGAAGTCAAGTCCCGGAGGATGTAACGACGCTATAGCGTCACGCTAATATTTCAAATAGCCACTCAGTGGCCAGCCTGGTACGTGCTAGGCTGGAGCAACAACATGTTTGCGCTCCACGTTGTAGTTCGAATTCAACTTTAACCATACGCATTCTTTTTTATTCAAATTGTATGAACTACGGTTCGTATCACGGCCCGGTTAAAGTTAACCACTATCGGTGCCTAACCTATCGAACTGTCAAGATTTTTTACAAGTACGTTCAAGAATCTTCAACACCTAGTTTAAGAGATAAGAACTGGACTAGCTAGCTACAGGGTAATTAGTGAACCAGGATTCTTAGACCTATAACCATTTCAATCTCACTTTTCAAATTACCTTCTTCGGAGTACGTCTACTCCTCAAGCCTCGCCTCGGGCTCCCTGCTGAATCCTCGCCTCGCTTCAATACCTTCGCTTCACGACTCTTCGACACTCCCGTTAGGATCTTAGCGCTAGTCGTTTCTTCCTCTGCTCTGCTCTGCTCCGTGACGTCTCGCTAGTCGAACGTAACAAAAAGTTTGTTGCAAAGCATTGGAATAATAGTGATTGACTGTGGATGACGACAAGGACAGGACGCGTAACAAACGACCGAATTGGTGCTGCATTGCATTACGTGCATGTGTACATTCTTTTTTACTTCGCAACCAAATTCACAGCATGAGGAATTTTAGCTTGCAATTTCGTTTAGTGGTTTTCATACCCATTCATGGATAAAATTAGCTTCGAAGACTCAGTTTAGTAAAAAATATATATTTTATCATCATTTTATTCGTATTTTTTGTGATAATTCATTTTCAAAACAAGGCATTGAATTCCAACAAATCCAGCAGGCTGCTGTTGCTCTGCGCAATCCAATTTTTTGAGCATTTATCACGTCTTAATCTGCTACCTGATGATTATTAGAAGTCATGACCTTTTTGTGATTTTGGCAAACTTCACTCATGGGGATTCGTCAGATTTGGCTATATAAGACTTGATTTCAAAGAGAAATTCACTTCAGGAGCCAAGAATCAAGTGGCATAAGCACATCCAATAATTATTTTGTCGCCATTAATCAATGGCGTGTAGTCTTTGATATCAAGCTCCGCATAAGAATTTAAATTTTGGGTAGGCTTGCAGAAATAGCGATGATCTATATCCTTCAGTACTAGCAGACACTGTAGCTTCAAAGTAGATAGAATGCGACGTGAAATTAATTTGCTCATTTTTACTCCTATTTCGGTACAGATTCAAGTCTCTACCCTCACAGTACAGCATCATCTGATCCTGATCCCTGGACAGTGCATCTTCATCTGATCTTGATACCTTGATCCTCAAGGCTGAGCTCCAAAACTGCCTCAATGATTGACGTTGGACTTTGCGGATTAAATCGGAATTTAATCCGCAAAGTCCAACGTCAATCACTTTCATTTCTGTTTGCTTCTACAACGACTACCACTGCAACGTCTGTTATCTGCAATGCGTTTGGCTTTCTTCATCCTGTTTGCATCTTTGGCACTATCTGAAGGTGTCATGCCTAATTCGAAATCGTTCGGATCTCTGCACATACTGCAATAATTAAAGTGATGTATTCAG